GGTCTGGTCCACGAACCGGCAGCCCCTGTCCAGTCCGGCCCACGACCCGGCGGTCCCTGTCCGGTCCGGTTGATGACTCGACGGTCCCTGTCCGGTTCGATTCACGACCAGACAGTACTTGTTCGGTCTGATCGATGGTAGGGCAGCTCCGGTCTGATCCGGTATAGTCAACAACTCGGCGGTTTCTGTTCAGTACGATCAATGACCCAACGGTCCCCGTCATGTCCGGTCAACCACCCGGCGGTCCCCGTTTTGTCCGGTCAACGACCCGGCGACCCCCATTCTGTCTGGAAAATGACCCGACGATCTGTGTTCGTTCCGATCGACAACCGAGCGGTCTCGGGCCAATCCCGTAAACAACCCAGCGGTCCCTGGTCCGGGCTAGTCAATGACCCGACGGTTTAGTCAAGGTTTTTTCGAAATCATTTTTTAAAGTCTAGAGTTTTAAAAGAGCCGTTGAGTTGTCAACCAATAGAGAAATGGGAAAAGAATTTATCAAACTAACGGTTGAGATTGACCGGGATTGGCGGTTTTGGTCCCGACTTTCCTATACATGGGACCCAGTACCCTACTTGGGTTGTACTCGGTTCGGTTCCGGACAGGACCATATTTTTGATCTTTTGGTCGGTCACATAACCGGGTGAAAAAATGTATGAACATGTTTTCAGATTTGAAAATGGAAAACAAAAAATTGGAAACAGAAAAATTGGAGAAAGGAAAACAGAAATAGAAAACTGGAAAATATATCGGTTAGTAAACAAGCCCTCAATTTGATAGAGTGATTAGATTTTACTGATCTCTTCAATATGCTAAGGGTGTTGGACAGAGTGTATATGCTCTTTCTAATGGTCATTTATTGGATCATTAATAGTGGTCTCCTTTTATACGCTGCAATTTGTGGTTAGTCATTGATAAATTCTGATAAAGAATTACTTCCAAGAGTTACCTAAACAATTGTCTTGTTGGCCAAGTAGCAGCTGGAGGACTTTAGGTGAACTTAGCCAAAATTTTCTGATTCCCCGTCCATTATCCCAATATAATGTTAATGAATTGTCTTTTCTTAGGATAATTTTGGTAGGTTGCATGATAGGAACAAAGAAACACCCAAGGCTTTTAAGCAGCTTGCACGTTTATTCCCAAACAAAGTGATGATACAAATTCCACAAGTAAGCTACTCTCATGGTTGACCTTGTGTGGGTTTCATTTGGATTTGTCATGGCCTCATTTGATATTGCTGCTCATTGTGACAGGATGAAACACTACTATCGGACTGGAAGCAGCACTTGGATCAGGACATTGAAACTTTGAAATATCAAGCAAATATTTCTAACATTCGCAATGTGAGTCGTCCTGCATAACTTCATAGATATGATCTCATAGTGACAAAGTTATATTGATAGCCATCCGAAAAGATGTTTGATCACTCACATCTTTTATAGCCTGAATATAGTTATCTCAAAACTGTTCTAATTTTGTATCGGGAAACAATTGATAACTCTAAAAAATGCATTTCAAAATTATACGGGTTAAAAGGCGTGTCCAAAGCGTTGTTTAGACTACATGAAAGTTTATTGCGTCCTTCTTGATTGAACTTATTGTTGTCTAAATCTTATGGATTCAAATTGAAGAGCTTCTGTTTACTTTTATTTGGAATTTTATCAGTTCATGAATCATGACCCAAGATAAGCTAAATATAATTTTGGATCCAACAAGATCTTTCTAATCAAAGATCTATATTACTTTTTAGGGCCTCAATTACTTGAAACTAGAAAAATGAGACCCCAAATCTAACTCTATTAGAATCTCCGTTAATAAAGGTTGCTCACTAGTGCTCCACATCTTTAATGGAAATAGTCAGCTCATTCTTCTCATATGTACCCCAAATATTTCTAATTTCCACTCCGACTCTTGTCTTGCTATTTTTCTTTGAGACCTAAAAAAATCAGCGTCATTTGCACTTCCAAGAGTCAAAAAAGTACATCTTAACCAATCAAAATCTTCCGGTTGATGATTTCACCCACTGCAAATATTTCTACCTGGTTATTCCTCGTATGAAATTATGGGTTAAATCCCTCTTCTTCAATTAGCATTAATAGTACCATTCTTGTGTGAGATTCTAGGGTTTTTTTCATCCATTGTTATTATTTACTGGAAAAGGGCTGCTCCAAATGTTTTTTGTTTTTTATTTCGTACTTCTCTATCTTTTATAAATATTACTACCTCCGTCCCACTAATATTGGGACGGAAGGGGGTGACACGGTTATTAAGAAGAGTGGATTTGTGTGGTTGATATTAATTGATAAAGTAAGAATAAAGTAAGAATGATTTAGAGTCACACAAACTTTACCAAATTTGGTATGAGACAATGTTAGTGGGATTTCCCGAAAAGGTAAAGTGGGACAATATTAGCGGGACGAAGGGAGTATTATATTAAATAAGAAGAGAACTACAGGCATGAGATTTGCTTTTTTATTTTTATTTTTTATTTCTTTCTTATTCTTTGTGCCAGAGCATTAAACCTCAAATCTCAATACTTCGATGCATATTTTCTTGCAAGAGTTGTTTTGGGGGAACATTTACAGTGACTTGTTGTAAGAATAAGGATAGCAAGCATGATAATTTTTTACTAAGTTGGTGGAGGCAAAATGTGTAAGAAGATATAGATGGTAAGGGCTGATATTGATGGTTTCAAGTTATTTAAGCCCTGAGTAAAAGAAAAGTCATTATGGTCATAAATTGATAGTTGACCCATCTGTAGGGTAATGAACCGATGAAATTCCCAATTTTTTTAAGATTTCATTAGAATCAGTGTTACTTTCAAAGCAAGAATATTTAAAACATCTCACTTGTGGTTATTGTTAGTGATCTTAAATGTTTAGAATATGGTTGAGAAAGAGGAAGTGTATCCTTGATAAAATGCTAAATTGACTTTCCAAACCTCTCTTTGTTTTACTCTTATAATAATTTTCAGGTTTTGAATCGCATTGAGCTTCATTGTCCTGATATCGAAACATTGTGCATAAAAGATCAAACATTGACAAATGAGAGTAAGTAACCTACATTAAGTGTGGAGCTCTGTGATTAGATATTCCTTTATTATGGCTTCCTTTGATGTTAACCGACACAAATCGGCTTAGCCCAAAATCTGTAGAAGGTAAGCACTAGTGTTAGTGAGTCTCTTTATGTAATAAGTTTAGACACCATTACTATTAGAAATCATCTTCTACTATCTTGTTACAGTATCATATCCCTGTCCCCGCCATTATCTTCTTTTTATCTTCCTCCCTCCTTTTGCAATTCCATGTCTTCTTTTCCATCGAACAAAGCTTTGTTGACAGTGTGACACACAGATATGCGTCGGGCATGTGTAGGTATGCTGTGTGGCGTTTTGTTGACCAGATACAAGGTCTAAGGCTTGAAACACACCTAATATAAATTCCTTGCCTTTTATACGTAGTATTTGCCACAACAAATTTATGGAAAAAGTTTTCTGATTTGTGTAATAGTGGTTGGCTTAGTCTGAATATTTGTAAAGATAATGTTTGGACATGTATTCTGATAAGAAGGCATTGGGAATAATGGCTTCTTCTTTAATATTTATAGCATGGTCACGTGCTCTCCTAGGAGGTAAACCTTGTTGCATCTGAAATCCTGGGAAATTCTCCCAGGATTTCTTCCCACTCGTTCTCATGTTCCTGCCTTATTTTGCTTGAGTCAGTCACTTCATAGTGAATATAATATCCTTCTCCTTCTTTCTGCATGATAAGGCTCCATAAGTTCGGTTAACCCACTGAACTGGTAAAGCTTCAGCTCCGTGCTAATCTCTTCCTTGAGGCCATTGAGAAACACTCCTTTTAACATTTCTTGGTCAGTAGCTCTGAGTGGAGCTACCACCATCTCAAATTGATCCCTGTATTCCATCACTGAGTCCGTTTGTTTAATACTAAGCTTGGACCAAATGGATTCTGTACCAAGTCTGGTTGGAACCTTTGGATCAGTGCATCCTTGAAGTTGTCCCCATCTGTATGTTGATCCCACCACTAATACCAATTTAGAGCCTTATCAGCCATGGCGATCATTACTATCTCCACCTTTTCAGCCTCTGACACCTGGTTCGGTTTGAAATATCGTTCTACCTTGATAATCCACCCATACCCGTCGTCACCACCAAACATTGGCAAATCCACCTTTCTAGTTTCTACCAGTATGTATACGTTCATGGACCCTCGCATTATCATGCGTAAAGGAAGCCGACCAGGATTCATGAGAAATACCTGTGGAATGGGAAAAATTCACGCTATCTGATGGTGGGCGACGGAGAGAAGTCCTTGATTGTCCCCTGGTTCTCTGGCGATCATTGTGAGCTTTGAGATTCTGCCTTTTCTCCATCATTATCTGCACCTGTCATCCATCATGGCTCACATTTTTGCCATTGATCGTTCCAGGGATCGCTCCAAGTTTTTTATTCGATTCTCCATGTTCAACCAGTTTAAGACCATCCACAGATACAACAATCGTCAGTGCTCTGATATCAAATGATAAGAACAAACACACTCCAGCATAATAGGGAAGTTATATTACTGGAATTCTCAATACAAAGTCTGTAAAATCTCAGAACAAGCAAGGGGAAGGATAGATGACGTGCAGAAAAAGAGATTACAATTTGGAAGCCATTCGAGAGGGCCCCACTCTCCCAACAAACTAACCGATTCCGGAATGATCTCTTCTCTCTCATCAGCAGGCCTTTTATTCTCTCCCTCCAGCTCATCCGTACCTAACTTCCCACCTTCTGATTAACCATTTACTCTTTTGCCCCTCCTAGTGTAAACTCTAGAAAAATCCCTATTGGGATTAATTCTTAGAGTGTCTGGATTCTCATCATATTCATTTGTCTGAAACTTCAGTCCCAGAGCCTATTCGATAGGTATCCTTTTACGCTATTTGCTTCGATGCTTTACTACTCTTGAATGTTGGAAATCGGATTCTATTTGATCTTATTTCTTGTGAGACTGCTGACAGCTTAGAAGGAAAGTGAGGCACTATTCGCTAATCAGGAAAGAGGCTTTACTCTTGCTTGTTGATCTCTATTCCTCCTCGTACATTAAGTAGAGCAGGGAAATCTAGCTAGTTCGATTTGAACTTATTCAAATTTGGGTTTACAATATGTTCAGATTTTGAACATTTTTATTATTTTTTAGCATACTGTGCCTCTGATATATCCATGTGCTTAAGAAGAATTGGAGGTCCGTGAATGATATACTGTGTCATTGTAGATCATATTCATACTTGTGCTCAGAAAGCTAAATTAACTTAAATTTACGTGATGGTTGTTTTTGGCAATAAGGCTTGGATGTTGTTGTTGTTACGCGATGATTGTTCTCTTCTGTTGCTGGTGTGTTAAGTCAATTCTTGGCAATTCCATGTAGTAGTCCTAGAAAGGTGCAATTTGGATTTTGAGATGCATCAAAAGCACACTAGGACAGTCTACATGTGAAATACACTCAGACTGTGAAGTAATGTTAATTACTCGGATCTTGATTGGCAAGTTAGGCAGGTTGTCATTACGATAGGCACTTCACATCAGGATGGTGTATCTGTATCTAATATCTTGAATGTGTGAGAAGCAAGTCATAGTGGCAAGGTCATATGGGCAAGGTCAGGTTAAAAGGTAGAATGGCGGCATGGCGCACTATGTGATTGAGCTAAACAGGCTGGGCATATGTCCTGTCTTTATGTGACCTTATATGATTGAGACATTTGCTTCTATGAGTTGCAATATGGCAAAATTTGTCATTAATATGTGATGACCTGACAAAACTACAAATCACTTTAAAGCCCGTTATCATTAAAAGTCCATATTTGTAGAGGTCGATTGGCATTTCATTAGAGGAAAGTACATGTACGACGGGCTGCGTAGTTATGAGCTTTGTCGGGCTCAACGGATCAATTGGTTGACATTTTGATTAAAAACCCGTGGTCAGTGGTCCTAGGACTGAATACATCTGAGACGACGTAATGTATACTTCACTTGAACTTTTCAAGTTTGAGGAGGAGATTTGACTAAGAGCCCATTTGGTAGTTTACTCATTAAAATTTTACACGTGAAATGATTGCATGTAAAATATAGGGCAGTAATCATTTTACATGTAGTATTAAATTACATCGTTTGGTTATATGTGTAATCTATTTTTAAAATACACGCGAACTCTTTACATTGTTTTTCTGAAAAGTAACTTTGCATGCAAAATTCTTAGAAAAAGACTACATCACCCTTTTAGCCTTTTGTAGTACAACGTAACATATTCTTCAATCATCAACACGCTGTCCTATTCATTCAATCCATTCCAGCACCGAAACTTCCCAATTTTTTATCTTTGTCCATGTATATATACGAAGTATATCTTATCCATGTCTATATATATGTGTGTTCATACACACACACACACATATATATGTATATATGTATATATATGTGTATGTATATTAAATAATAAACCGGGTCTTACATACCAATCCAGGTAAACAAACCCAATAACCCAATACTCGAACTTAACGGGTTATCCCATTTAAACCCACAATCTGGATTTCTACTCGCACAAAAACACTCAAAACAATACATGTCATCAGATTAAAGAAGAAAACTAAAAGCTTCTGGAAAGATGCAGCTGGTCTACGATTTTTTATTCTTGTACGTAGTATAAGAGAGTCGTAGGTTATATCAAAGGTTGCCGATCTGCTTTCAGTTCACGATTTATATAAAAGGTTGCTGCCTAGTTTTCTTTCTTCTTCGGTCACACTGAAGTCGTTAAAATTAGGGCTGGATGGTAAAAGTTTAAATCATGTATTTTATGTTTACAATGTAAAGACCATCCTCCACCATGTAAAATATTTCACACGGTACAATGTAAAATGTTTTAAAAAAGTACCCAACACTTTACATCAAGTAATCAAAACAAACGGTGTGAAGTGATTATGTCCCTACACTTTACATGCAAAGTGTTTACTTTACATCATACCAAACAGGCCCTAAGAAACTTGCTTTTTAATTCGTATAGGTGTGGAGAAAATGATTGGCTGGGCTCTGAGTCATCATTTAATGCATTCTTCGGAATCTTCCACCAAAGATGGCAAACTTGTGATCTCCAGTGAGAGGTTGTCTGATGTTCTGTCACTTTACTTGTATAGTGGTGAAGTCATGAATGAATGCAGAGCTTTCTCTTTTCATTGCAATGGAATAGCTGTTCTCCTGCTGTCCTGCCTCCTTCATACTTAAATTTGTTGACTCCTAACTCCTTAGGAGTAACTAGATTTTATAAAACGAAGCGACTTTTTTGTACTATTAAATGCTTCACTCTTTATCTAAAGTGTCCAAAAAATCCTTATTTTTATTTAAAAAATCCTACTACATTGGAGGGTGTATTGTGTAGAACTGTGGACTTTGAACTAAAATGGAAAATTTTCAAAGTCAAAGGTTAAAAGTAAGAAAAATATGAACTGATAAAATTTGGTGAGAAAAATTGTGAACCAACCAACATATAAGATGAGATTCGTACCCTACTCGTCTTTAATTCATTTTTGTTGATGATGCGATTCATAACTTCCCTGGCATTAACCATGTGTTGGATGATGTGCATGTGAACATGGTTTCATTTAAAAAATGCCATCAATTTCTTTTGACTTTTCAGCATTAGTTATGGGCTCAATATCTTGCAAGGCATTCAAAATGAAACCAAGAGCGTGAGAAATTCTCTTAAGGTGTGATGGCGAGACTTTTTTATTCAATGTTTCTCATTTCTTTTTATAAAGCTTAAAAATCATTCCAATTGGATGCTTACATGAGTTTGACTTGATTTTTGAGGTTTCAGGATGTGGTTACTGAGAATGAATTTGAGAAAAAACTACTTGCTGATGTTATTCCACCCAGTGATATTGGAGTTACTTTTGATGACATTGGGGCCTTGGAACATGTGAAGGATACTTTGAAGGAATTGGTTATGCTGCCTCTTCAAAGACCAGAGTTGTTTTGTAAAGGACAGCTTACCAAGGTAAACCTCTTTTTGCTGGTTTACACTTCTTTTAACCACTTTTTGGCTTATTTAGTTAATAATGAAATTTACACTTTCAGCCTTGCAAGGGGATATTGCTTTTTGGACCTCCAGGCACTGGTAAGACAATGCTCGCAAAAGCAGTTGCAACAGAAGCTGGTGCAAACTTTATTAACATATCAATGTCAAGCATTACATCAAAGGTATCTTTGGGCTATATACAAAGTTTATAATATTTCCATCTCTGTTTTTTCACTCGCCATTTCATTCATTCTCTTTAAGTATTGAAGTTAGAGATTTCATGGGGAAAATGAAATAAAATCATATATCAGTCTATCAACACTTAAAGTCGAAAAGTTTGATGAACAAACAGTACTCCTGTATTTTCCAATTTGAAAACAATACGCTTGAAAAATTAAATCTAGCTTCCTTAGAATGTTGAGGAATGGAGAATTCTACTCTGTCTTTCATTTGGTGTGTTTCAACGATTTTTTTTTTAATTTTCGCTTTCAACTATGCTATAGATATGGGAAAAATTCCACTTGCTGAACAGACACATTTAACTTTTTGGGGTGGCCTTTGTTAGTAAACTGAATGTTATTGAATCATTATGCTTAAATTTCTTACAGTGGTTCGGTGAAGGAGAAAAATATGTCAAAGCAGTATTCACTTTAGCCAGTAAAATTGCTCCTAGTGTTGTTTTTGTGGATGAGGTTGGTATTTCATTTTCTTTAGTTAATCAATTGCCAAATTATTTTCTCATGTGACCCTTTGCTTCCACTTCTTTCCAGTGTGTTTGTTTGTGCGTGTTCTATTTATCGCAATTAGTGGTCTATATCTCCACTTGACCCCCGTTGTCTTCCCCACCCAATCTCCTTTTCTTCAGGTGGACAGCATGCTAGGGAGACGGGAAAATCCTGGAGAGCATGAAGCTATGCGCAAAATGAAAAATGAATTTATGGTGAATTGGGATGGTTTGCGCACAAAGGACAAGGAACGAGTGCTTGTTCTTGCAGCAACCAATAGACCCTTTGACCTCGATGAGGCGGTTATTAGGAGGCTTCCTCGAAGGTATGTTATTGTTAGTTAATCTCTCAATTGGTTTTAAGTAAATGCTTGAAAGTAGTACTCATTTTGGCTTCAAATTGTGTAGGTTGATGGTTAACTTGCCTGATGCTTCTAATAGAGAAAAGATTTTAAGAATTATATTAACCAAGGAGGAGCTAGATCCTAATGTTGATTTTGAAGCAATTGCTACTATGACTGAAGGGTATTCAGGAAGTGATTTGAAGGTTTGGTCGTTTAAACTTTTTTCAAACTCTCGGACTTATCTTTTTAGTTCTCTTTAAGATTAAAACCTTGCTATGTTTAAAAATGAACGATCATATAAAATTTTGCTGAGATTACATTAATGACTTCTCTGTTGCAGAACTTGTGTGTTACGGCAGCACATTGTCCCATTAGGGAAATTTTGGGGATGGAAAAGAAGGTTCTTTCTTATAATCAAGTTCCAGACTTGTTTACCACTTCTCATCATTTGTTCCTGTGCTCGCATATTTAATAATATTTTCTTCTCTATGTTCAAAAAATGTCTTTAGGAGAAAGCTTTGGCAATATCAGAAAACAGACCATTGCCAGCTTTGCATGACAGTTCTGATATTCGTCCTCTTAACATGGATGATTTCAGATATGCACATGAACAGGTTAGTTTGAATGGAGCCGAAAAAGAAAGGAAAAACACAAGTCATACATTAATTAACCACTAAGAGCCAAGTAAATAGTTGTTTATTAGTTTTGATTACCGCTGGTTACATGCAGGTGTGCGCCAGTGTATCGTCAGAGTCAACAAATATGACTGAGCTTCTCCAGTGGAATGAATTGTACGGAGAAGGTGGATCAAGGAAGAAAACAGCTCTTAGCTACTTCATGTAGAGAGATATGGCAGATGTGTGAATTGTATATTGCTGCTGCTTGTTTAGTCACTTCATTGTCACTGCCAGTGTGGTGGTCTGGACACTGTCAACAGTGTGCATGAGAGAATAGCAACCTAGGCTGGTGGGACCCGGATGCATGAGGATTTCATCTAGCTTCATGAATTCTCTGTTCAGGTCCTTGTGTATCATATTTTCTGTCTATAGTATTTAACCTCCAAGCTTGCCAAGGTGTAAGCTTTAGAACATCTGTTCAGATTATTTGACTGTTACTCTATTTGCTAGGTTTCATTGTTGTAACTTTTGTAAAAGTATATGTAACTCAATAGGGATATATATGTTTTATTTCTCGCAATTGCTTGCACTATTTGCTTTATGAATTCACTGAATTATTAATGTCTTGCTTTGACCGGATTAATATGCTCCAAGTATGATTTGATCAGCCTGCTGGACCATTAAAATATCTGAAATCTATAATGTTCTTGGCTTCTTGCTATTAATCTTAACTAAAGGAAATGAAGATAGATTAAGGGTGTGAACTAGCCGACGTGAGTAGGGGTGAGCAGAACCCGAACCCACCCGAAAACCCGATCGGGTCTACCCTCAAATAACCGCCTGGGTCGGTCGACCCGAACCCGAGAACCCGAACCGAAAAGCCCAGCCCATGTTTTAAGGGTTATGGGTTACGGGTAGGGTTTTCTAAATGGCTACCCGACCCGCCCGAATACCCGAACTACCCTAAGTATATATACTAATTATTTTACCCTAAACCCAACCCTACCACTTCAGCGCCTCCACTCTTCACTCGCAACTCCCTCTAACCCTCTCCCCTACTCCGACTTCTCTCTAACCATCCAACTTCTACCATCTCCGATTCTCCGGTAGTCCGTTAGTCCTCACTCCCTGTAAATCTGTAATGGTCCGACCTCTGTAGTTTGTACGAATTAGCCTCTCTGCCTTGGTGGAAGCTGAATATAGCGTACCGGTCTTGTGGATTTGTGGAAGCTTGCAAGTTGCAACCCATTCGATTATCTGAATTCTTTGATCTTTGTGAGGTATAAACGTTAAATACTTAAACTGTATGTTTGGTCCGCTTGGATTAACCATTTCATGCATCTTCCGATCTGAAAAATTGGCTTTGAAATGTGCTTTGGTGGAAGCCCGATCCCTAAATGTGATGTGTTATCAGTTTTGTGAATGAATTAGTTGTGTTACTTAGATGCACTGTTATGTGTTTGGTGGAAGCTTGAAACCCTAGATTCAGCCTGTGAACCCCTTTGTATGAACTACCTAATAATCTGTGATGCCTGATGCCTCGATGATGCCTATGTGATTCTGAGATTATTATATAAATGGCCGATGAGTAAAGATGATGGTTGATTTATTTTGACAAGTGTTGAAGTTGCCATTTTCTACTCAAACACTCAAAGGAGTAGTTAGAGTGAACTGGTATCTTTTAAGTCTGTAGAGAAGTGAATAAGCCTACTGCTTATATCCTTCTGTAAATCAGCTTGCTGATTGTTCCAGACTTTAATGTGAATGTATGAATGTATGATGTTGTTTTCAATCTGTGATGCTTTGGTCATGTCTGAGAATATGTGATTATGAGATTAGAGTGGAAGCTGCCCATTTCTCTGAGTATGTGTAAACTGTAATGTGGAGTCATTACAAATTTTCAGAATTATGATGCTTTCATACAAATATTTTGTATATTCTGAATTTCTGATTATTGGTTAATACAATTTGTTGAGTAAAGAACTAAAGATGATGGATGATCTGTTCGGACAAGTGTTGAGGTTACCTTTCTCTACTCAAACACTCAAACGAGTAGTTAGAGTGAACTGGTATCTTCTAAGTCTGTAGAGAAGTGAATAAGCCAACTGCTTATATCCTTCTGTAGATCAGCATGCTGATTGTTCCAGACTTTATTGTGAATGTATGAATGTATGATGTTGTTTTCAATCTGTGATGCTTTGGTCATGTCTGAGAATATGTGATTATGAGATTAGAGTGGAAGCTGCCCATTTCTCTGAGTATGTGTAAATTGTAATGTGGAGTCATTACAAATTTTCAGAAATATGATGCTTTCATACAAATATTTTGTATATTCTGAATTTCTGATTATTGGTTAATATAATTTGTTGAGTAAAGAACTAAAGATGATGGATGATCTGTTCTGACAAGTGTTGAGGTTACCTTTCTCTACTCAAACACTCAAACGAGTAGTTAGAGTGAACTGGTATATTCTAAGTCTGTAGAGAAGTGAATAAGCCAACTGCTTATATCCTTCTGTAGATCAGCTTGCTGATTGTTCCAGACTTTATTGTGAATGTATGAATGTATGATGTTGTTTTCAATCTGGAAGCTTGCATTGAGTTTTTTGAACTATATATTCCTATGAATTATCAGAATGGAAGTTGAATGTATGAATACCATACCTGCATCTGGTTCTCAACCTCCTCTGACTCCTGTTTCCCAAGAACCTATGGTGGAAACTAATGATGCTGGGGCTAACACCAGCACACATCAGACAAATGTTCCTGGAAATAAGAGAAAGGAGGTAGAGTCCAGATCTAAAATATGGGATCAGTTTGTTAAGATCAAAGATGGTAATGGTGTTGTTATCAAAGGAAAATGCATACATTATGCTAAAACATATTGTTGTCAGTCTAAGAAGCATGGCACTTCCTCTCTTAGAAATCACATACTTAGTTGTCTGAAATTGCCTTGCTCCAAGGATGCAAGGCAAGCCCTTCTCACTTTCCAACCAGTTCTGTGTAATCCAACATCTGAAAAAACTGGGGTGTTAGGGACTTGGGTGTTTGATCAGGGTGCAATTAGGAGAGCACTTGCTGAAATGCTTATCATTGATGAGCTGTCATTTAGATTTGTGGACAGACAAGGATTTAGGAAGTTTATCTCTATAGCTTGTCCTAGGTTCCAAATTCCTTCCAGATGGACAATTGTTAGAGACATCTACCAAATATTTTTAGATGAGAAAGTAAGTCTGAAAAAGTTGTTTAGGGAACACACTCAGAGGGTCTCTATAACAACTGACACATGGACCTCTGTACAAAGGATCAATTACATGTGTATAACAGCACATTTCATTGATCATGAGTGGAAGCTGAATAAAAAAATAATTTCCTTTGTTCCTGTGACTTCCCACAAAGGAGAGTACTTAGCAAAAGCCCTAGAGTCTTGCCTGGTAGATTGGGGATTGAAATCTATCTTCACTGTGACTGTTGATAATGCTAGTAGTAATGACACTGCAATTGGTTTTTTTAAGAAGAAACTTTTATCTTGGGGTGCCTCTTCTGTAAAAGTTAAGTACCTTCATATGAGGTGTATTGCTCATATCCTTAATTTGGCTGTCCAAGATGGTTTAAAAGAAAGTGATACTTATGTTCAAAGAGTCAGAGATGCTGTTAAGTATGTTAGAAATTCTCCTGCTAGGCTACAAAAATTCAAGGACATTTCAGACTTGATTGGAATGGAAACTAAAGCTGGATTGCACCTAGATGTCCCAACTAGGTGGAATTCAACCTATTTGATGCTCAAATCTGCAATGTCCAATGAAAAAGTGTTTGAAGCTTATGAGGAGAATGAGAGTTCCTATCTTGTTGATCTGGGGAGTGAGAGTCCTGATGTTGAGGACTGGATTGCAATTGAAACTTTGGTGGTCATTCTTAAAAATTTCTATGATATGACACTTAGGATTTCAGGCTCTCTTTATGTCACTGCAAATACCTTCTTCTCTGAAATATCTGATCTGTTCCTTGTTCTCAAAGAAATGGTTGCTTCTGAAACTGAATCTGTGTCTAAAATGGGGACTACTATGAAATCCAAATTGGATAAGTATTGGGGTGATCCAGAAAAAATGAACATGCTCATTTTCTTTGCAAATGTGCTTGACACTAGAGACAAATATGAATACATGCCACATCAATTGAATACTTTGTATGGGGATAAGATAGGTGTGGCATTCTTTACAAAGATAAAGTTGGGTTTGAATGAGTTGTATGGTGATTATGTTACAAACTATGATGTTCCAGTCAGTGGAAGCTCTCAATTAACCCCAAATTCTGTTTCTTTACAATCTGAGTCAACTGGAAGTAGACCTGTCTCTAAATTCAAAGCCCAATTGAAAAAGCAAAAACAATATAGTGGCCTCTTAGGGTTGAAAAAAATGAACTTGAACTGTATTTGAGTGAGAACATTCTTGAGGAGGACAATGAATTTGATATATTAAGATGGTGGAAGCTTAATGGTGAGAGGTTTCCTATCCTATCTAGGATGGCAAGAGACATTCTTGCTGTTCCTATTTCCACAGTAGCTTCTGAGTCTACTTTTAGTACAAGTGGAAGGGTGTTGGATTGTTTTAGGAGTTCATTGAGTGCCAAAATTGTAGAAGCACTCATATGTGCTCAAGACTGGTTGAGGATGTCCAACCAGCCTGTGTCAGTTGAAGAAAATATTGAGGAGGTTGACAGGCTAGAAACAGGTACTAACTTGATTTTAGTATTCAGTATTTATATTTGAAGTTATTGCTAACTTGATTTTGTTTTCAATGCAGAATTGACTGAAGGAAATGTTGGTGGAGGAAATGTTGGTGGTGGCCCTTCTCTTGATCAGATAGCAGTAAAACTTATACTTTATCTTTTATATATGTAATTTGTTACTTCACTAATGAACATGCTATGATTCTGTCAATGTCCTGGCTGTAAATGCATAACCCTGCTGCTTTGATGGGAATTGGAAGTGTTGCTGATGCACTGGTAATGTGTGTGTGTGTGACAACAAGACATGGTTGTTGAGGTTTATTCCCGAAGATCCGAAAGCCCAACACAAGCCTTGGATATTGTAGGGATATTGTGTAGGGTTGAAATGTGTGTAAAATATAAAATAGTGAAATAATATCCAACTCAAGAACTTATTTATATTCTGTAATTAAGCAATTACACTGAAACTACCCGAACGGTAGATGAATATGAGATTACAAGGATGGGAGATGTAAATCTATTGCTAAGCTCTGAGTATTAAAATGCTAACCCTTTACAATGATCTAAACATGGATATTTATACTAAAATGGGGATGGGTAAGGTGGACACGTGGTCGAATCTGGTAGGCTATCACCTCTGCCATGTAAGCACCCATGCCCCCACTTGCAGCTGTCATGATCCAGCATTAAATGCGGCCTCCACTTGCTGACTGCCCGTTCGGGCAAGGTGTTCGGTGTGCGGGACCCTGCCATAGGAGATAATTTCTACCTGAAGTATCCCGAACGCCGATCGATATTTGGGCCTTGATACCTTGGCATAATCGTTACCCAGAATGTTCCAAGTATAAGTTTTATCCCGAATGCCGTTCGGGAGTTCTTTGGGCTTGCAGCTTCTTCCCGGATTTGGGCCTAGGGATATTGGGCCTGGACCCAATATCCCAACACTAGTCC